ATCGTTTCGATCTACTTGTCACTGATGTGATGCCTATATACATGATTATGCCTAGATATTCTCATAACTATGGTCAATTCTGTCAATTGCTCAACAATAATTTGTTCACCCACCGTAGAATACTTATGCTCTTGAGAGAAGCCACTAGTGAAAACTATGGCCCCCGGGTCTATTCTCATCATATCAATCTCCATCACTTTAATCTTGCTTTGCTTTGCTTTTACTTTTTACTTTGCATCTTTATACCAAAAATACCAAAAATATTATATCTATCAGATCTCATTCTCGTAAGTGACTGTGAAGGGATTGACAACCCCTAATCACGTTGGTTGCGAGTAGCTATCGTTTTGTGCAGGTACGAGGGACTTGAGCGTGGCCTCCTACTGGATTGATACCTTGGTTCTCAAAAACTGAGGGAAATACTTACGCTACTCTGCTGCATCATCCCGTCCTCTTCGGGGAAAACCAACGCAAGCTCAAGACGTAGCATGTATCGGCTCAAGTTAGTTGGTGGGATTACAAGTTAACAATTGCAATACATGTTCAGAATGGCGGCTTAAACGAGAGCTGATGATATATGAAGTAATTATAAGCCGGCAGAATAAGCCACCATGACTAAGATATTCAAGATCTACCGAGAGTAAAATTTGCTAAGTGTTAGGACAAATAGGTTCCATAGTTTGAAGCTATAAATTCGGATGTACCGCTACTCAGAAAAGGGAATAAATTCGAGACCTACAAAGGCGATAGTGGAAAAGCAGAGGTGCCCTAGAGGAGATCTGTCGCTATGAGGATATATTCTAGTATCAAAAACAGGTGCTAAATCTACTACCGCGCAAGATTTATGTGGTTTTTGGATCTAATCCATGGATCTAAGCAAGGAGAAAGAAGGGCAGCGACGAACACCGATGAATCCTAATGACAGATCTATGATGAAAGAAAGGAGGGCTTACTGATGCTGATAGGACAGCGGAGTGGCGCCGCGGTTTTCTGGTCCGTTCATGGTGATGCAGCGTTCGGAGTTGAGGTCGGCGACGAAGGTCGACGGCGGCGGGGCTCGTGCGGATTGGTGTGTCGTGAGGAGGAAGAAAGCGAGAAGGAGAAGAATGAAAGGTGATTCTGTGGCCTTATTTATAGGCTTGGAAGTACGAATGGGAGGCGCGGGAATCGAGGAAACAGTAAAATGGATATGTGATGGCACAGGCGCCTCGATTTTCGGAGGGCCGGGAAAGAAAGAGATTTATTAAGATTTGGATTCTGTGTAGCATTAATCGTAGATGATGTCATGGTGGGTTATCACAATTTTCGGAGACGACGTCATGGCGGGTTACAATATTTCATAGTAAGAGGAGGAAGGATTTTTCTAAGTATTGAAGATTGACATGAACAAGTTCAAATCAACCTGGGGCCTAATGTTGGGGATATGATTATCAGGTATGACCCGCCCAGGAGGGGCCAGGTCATCCCTATGGCGTTTCATCTCAATGAAGCCCAAGAGCATATTAACAATGGCGGTTCATAGATAGGCTTAGTAGAGGGCCCAAAATCGAAGGCGGCTTAAGGCCCACGGATATAAACCGCCATGTACATAGACTTGTATTGTAAGGCATGTAAGAAAGGTCACCGAGCCGGATACGTTATAGGAGCTGGCCAGGACTCTGTAGGCCGCAGGGCGTCAACCCGTGTATATAAGGGGATGACCCGGCGGTGGCTTAGGACAAGAAACAACAGATCAAGGGCCAGGTTAAGTGTATTCGCTCCCTGGTCATCGAAACCCTAGCAATACCACCTCCAACTGGATTAGACTTTTACCTTCACTGCAAGGGGCCGAATCAGTATAAACTCCTTGTGTCCTTTGTCCCGATTAACCCCTTTAAGCTAATCTCGTTGCGATGGCTCCACGACTAAATCCTCACACTAGGACATCTGCCATGAAAACTCCACGACAACAATGTCTTTGGTTTAAGAACCTGCAAGTGTTTCTTGTAGCGATGTTAATCCCATAAAAAGGACTCGCAGGTGGGCATCTGCTATAATAATCAGGTACTTCATTCTCATTATCAAATTCAAATGCTCAGTGAAACTAACCAATGAATGGACTGGTTGGTTAAATCTGAATAAACAACACTTTATTCTCATCTTTTCTCCTCTTCCATTCACTGAAACATCTACAGTGCATGCTTGTTATTTCTTTGAGTGCTCAAACACAAATACTGAGAAAACCCAATTATCAAATTCAAAATGTGGTTCCTGTTCTGGGAGGTATGACATGATTTCTCTGCTGGCATGTGTGTGTGTGTGTGTGTGTTGATTGCTTGTCTGTTGCCGGGTGGATTGCACAGTGGCGATGCTGGGAGCCATGGGTCATCCGAAAAGTGAGATGCCGACGTCACTCAAAACGATCCTTTCTGGGCATTGACTGGATCCTCCACATGCCATTGATCCTTTGGTTCGTACATGCTTGGCATTGACTGGATTCTAGATTGGCTAGCTTGTATCCCGGCCAACCTCTCTGTCCTGATTTTTTAGAAGCCAACTTACTTCAAAAGGAGGCCTGGATTACCTTATATTCAGCATTGGTTACATAGAATAGATTTTTTTACGATGAAAAAGTTTGACAATTGAAAATCTATCCGAGAATCATGCTAGCTTGTGCGCTGAAATTTGCACCTAGATAGGTTCAGATGTTTGGCTATCTAGGCACTGCCTATTTGTCTGAACCTAAAAATTCACAAATCAAATTCATAAATCAAATACTGAGAAAACCCAATTATCAAATTCAAAATGTGGTTCCAGTTCTGGGAGGTATGACGTGATTTCTTTGCTGGCATGTGTGTGTGTTTCTTGTTTGTCTGTTGCCGGGTGGATTGCACAGTGGCGATGCCGGGAGTCATGGGTCATCGTAAAAGTGAGATGCCGGCGTCACTCAAAACGATATTTTCTTGCCATTGACTGGATCCTCCACAAATTATTTGATGCCATTGATCCTTTGGTTCATACGTGCTTGGCATTGACTGAATCCTAGATTGGCTAGCTTGTATCCCGGCCAACCTCTCTGTCTTGATTTTTTAGAAGCCAACTTACTTCAAAAGGAGGCTTGGATTACCTTATATTTAGCATTGGTTACATAGACTAGATTTTTTTACGATGAAAAAGTTTGACAATTGAAAATCTATTCGAGAATCATGCTGGTTTGTGCGCTGAAATTTGCACCTAGATAGGTTCACATGTTTGGCCAGCTAGGCACTGCCTATTTGTCTGAACCTGAAAATTCACAAATCACTTTAGTTTTCACTAACACAGCTAGGGCCAGCACCCCCTATCAAAAGAGACAATCTCAACAGCGGACGGGGTGGCGGAGTAGTCACATACCCACCATACAGTAACTGCTAGCTATACTTGTGGAGCAAATTCTTTGTCGTATTCATCAGGCGGGAACGACTTGTGTAGAATCTGAGCTTGTGGTGAAAAAATAGAAGAAATGATCCTGGACCACTAGATTGCAGATCAATGGTACAGATTTAGGTGGAGGCATCTCAACCCATTTAATGCAGATTTTGCAGAAACCCCCCTACTGATAGTTCGACATGAAATAGGACATTTGCATTATGCACCTCAAGTCTTCGTGAAATAAAACCATTTTTCAGATATGAACAGTACTAATGCCCATATCTTCTTAGTCTGAAACAAACTCGTCTCATATAAGATCTGTGAAAAATATTTACTGGATGAAATAAAATCCAGACACAGTTATGTGACACCACTAATTTTTGAAGAGAGTCGAACATCTTGGTCACTAAGAAACGACAATATATATCACAAATATTTTAGCACATGAGATAATAAGCCATCCCAAATCAAGTACGACCACACATACATGTCAAACTGGAAAATATAGCAATTTAAGGATTGAAATTATCGCTGTTCAGCAAGCATTTCAGTACTTGAGTACATGAGAACACATCACAAGAGGCAAGTAGAACCACACGTACATGTCAAACTGGAAGTACAACAAATTAAGGACTGAATTTATCAGTGCTCAGCAAGCATTTAAGTACTTGAGTACATGAAACATACATATCATTTTTAGTATATGGCCGGCAAGACCAAGTGGTAAAGACTGAAATTATCATCGCCCAACAAGCGTCTTGCTGGTACAAGACCGAAAATATCTATCATTCTGCCCCGTGTTAGTGCTTCCTGGTAATTGAGCTTCCTGCTGGGAGAGATTGGACTCTTATAGACTTGATCAGTTCGACCTACCTAGGTAAACACACCAAGTAAATAGGTGTCATTCAGAAACATTTACCAAATAGCATATCTCGAGAAGAGAGACAATCATTATATACGTCTAGCTGCATTCAGCACCCCAACCTAGGATACATAACCTATATGTCAAACTTGGGATGAAATTCTTGAAACATATTAATACATATGTAACCAATCAGGATAACTTTGTAAGTTAAACTGTCTTTCCAGCATCTACAAGAGAGTTTTCAAATCAAATAAAATGGCATGTGATAGTTGGAGAGAGTACAAATATTTTGTTCATTATTCCATTATAGACCTATGATAAATGAATTACAATTCCATGATTAGTTAAAAGCACAAATGAGAACCACAAATAAGTGGCATTGAGCAATTTAAAGGGAGTTTTATGACTGCCCTGCAGATGCAAATTATTATTCAAATTTGATAGCTATAAACAAAAAACCTGATGGCATGCATTATATTACATCTTGTAATAATAAGAAAACCACATAAGCATGGGAAAAAATGAACAAGATGGCAGGTTGGCTCATGTCATGGACGAAGGATTAGTACTAAAGCACATACACACATCCTTGTTGTAGCCATACCATAGGCCAATAAAAAAATGGAAGGTGCACATATCTTTGGTAAATGATTTATGTATGCCTAATCATTTTAATCAGCCTAGTTGAGTGGTCATAGCACGACAAATATGTGGTAGTCTTCGAAGCACGAAGGAGCACAAACCTCTACTGTTTTGTTTTTTGTTTTTTAGAACATGTTCTTGCATCATGAAACGCCATTTCCTTACAAATGCTGCATTTGCGCGCGACTTTTTGATGAATTCCAGGCCTTCTCTTCTCACCGGATCCACTCCTCGCACCATCCCTATGGCCCTTTATTCTAGAGCATGTGCCCCTTGCATTGATATCCTTAGGTGTGAGGATTGTAACATCCTTTGGAATGACACTCCCAATACACGACTCCTCATTTTCTTGTGTATTGCATGGTACGGTCGAAACTAGTTGGGCTAAACCCAACTCAATGCCACACAAACTATTATGTAGGAATTCAATTCCTTCCATGGAGTGTTTGGATTCTCCTATGAGATCTTCTAGCTTGTCCCTCATAGCAACTATCTTCCTTTTCACAGCAATGTCAACCAAATATGTTAAATTTTCTTCAAGCACATTCCCTTCCCCATCATAGACAATGTCCCTACGAATAGGAAAATTATCACATCATCATCATCATGTGGGTCAAAGTAGATAACTATTAATGTGTCTACATCAACATGATAAGAAATATACCTTTTGCATTTTTTCTTCCATCGCTTAAGAATACAAAGGCTTGGCAATTCATTTATTTTCGCACCCCTAAATACCCTAATAATGTGACGGCACACAATTCCCTTGGACTCAAAAAGCTTGCAAGAACATTTAGCGGTCATGGATGTTGTGTCATAACACACTTCTCTAATCTTCTTGTATTGATCGCTGGCAAACATGATTTAAATCCCCTCATGATTTTCTGTCTGCTGAACATCACAATCATCTCTGGCAGCAAGCACCTGAGCCTGAAACAATTCAAAAACCTCATGGGTGAATAGCACCCTGCCTTGTCTCTCTATTTCCCATGATGTCAACAACTCACTTTGTTGTGTATTCACTTGTGTTATCGGCAATCAGCTCACTTTGACTTTGACATTTCAAAGCAGTGTCAAGCCTTAGCCAAAACTCAACAAAGGTAAGCTTGTGACGAATGAAACGTTTAAAAATGAATTTGCACTCTCTGAAATAGAAGTTGTCCTGAGTAGACTAGCTAGGTGAATGTCCATAAAGTAAGCTAGTATCCATGTCGCACGAAGCTTATACCTTTTGGCAAACCACTCATAGTCCTCCAACTGAAACTCTATGATGAAAGATTGCCATCTATCCTCAAATTTAGCAGGTGTTTCAGAATTCCACACACAATGTTTCAGCCTATCATAGAACACAAGGTCATTCCTCAATTCCAGGCGTACCTTCCCTGGAACCTTTTCCATAATGTGCCACATGCGCAATCTATGTGTCGTGTTCGGTAGAGTTTTTCTGGTTGCATTTTTCATCCTAACACATTCATCAGTTATGATCACTCTAGGCGCAATCCCACCCATTGCTCTAAGAAATGACCTGAACAGCCAAATATAGGATTCTTCTGTCTCATGAAGTAGAAACCCCGCCCCAAAAAAGACACTTTGCATGTGATGGTTTACTCTAGTGAAGGGCGCAAAGGTGTATTCATATTGGTTAGTGCTGTATGTCGAATCAAAAGATACGACATCGCTGAAATGCCCATAGTTTTTCCTACTTGATGCATCCGTCCAGAATAAACGAATCAATGTACTGACCTCGTCAACTTCATATTCAAAGAAAAATGCAGGGTTCAGAGTCTTCAATCTACCAAATTGGTCCACCAACATTTGAGCATCACAATTTCTTATTTTATTTTTCAGTCCACCATAGTGATTCTGTAGGTCTTTCTGGGTGCACCCAACATGCTGAAAACCACCAACACTAACATTAAGTAGCCTATATGCTAAGGCAGTGCCAATGCTAGCTTTCTGACAATCGTGAAGTGTTGTCTTCACTCTCTCACTAATTTGACGACTGGATCTAATCAAGTGTTGCTGGCTCAGTGGCACAAAAGGGTGATTGTGATATTCAGTGAGTGAAGCTATCTTGTATTTTCCATTCCTTTCTCGAGTGACATATATAAGCTTCACATCCACATCTAGTCAATTTAACCTTTCTCCTTTTCTTTGAAGCCTCAACAACAACCATACCTTTCTCGGGACGGAAGCCTTCTTTTGCACACAGGAAGCATTTCCATTGAAGCACATTATCTACGACCCTCTGTTGTCTAAGACGCACACCAAATCTGACATTGTGTGCATATGTCCTGTAAAATTCTAGCACTGAGGCAATGTCATCAAATACCATCCCTACTTTTGGCTTCAATTCCTCGTCACACTGGGGTTTATACAAAGAACCCTGTAACATTGAATGCAAGTTCAGTAACATTACCCTCACGTGACAACACCATCTCACTTCTAAAGACTACATGTTATTCGGTTATGATATCTCATTTTGTCACTGCCAAAAATTAATACTCCCATATGGAATGTCCATTTAATGAGAGTATTACAGGTTGTGACAAGTGTTATAACACAATAGGGCTGTCTAATTTCTACCATACATATCCCAGATGTTTAGTTTTAGCATATTTGTTTGCCACCTAAGGTTTGACATGGACATGACATATGATAAGTGTATATTTTCCTATCAAACATGAATGTATTCATGCAGTTTAATATGGACAAAAAATAAGAAGTTACATACATTATATTAAAATAAAAAACTATGTGTACCTCTTGAGAGAATGATTCTTTTTTTCGGTGTACTGGAGTCATTAATGAGAAGCATTGGGGAATTAATTTCTGCGAATGACGTTGCATCACTGAAATCTTGATTTTGAACATTGTTAACCGATTCCATGGCTGCAAACAGTTTTTAGCAATCAAAATAGCACACAAGGGATTAACATAATGTTAGATACATTAGGATATCTTGATTTTCTCGTATCGCTATTGTCACCTGATAGTGCTGGTGCACATGCTGCGATCATTGGAATTGAGGGCTCTCCTAGAGGAGAGATCGCACTTCTACCCTCCATTACTGGATCCTGTGTGAGAATTGCAAATTTAGACCGGGGATCATCTTTTCCATGTCAAACTTCTGCCACATGCATGGGTCATATCAAAGGCATGGCTTATGGGAAAGATTAGGGAAATGTAATTAATTACTCTCAGAAGGACAGGAAAATATTCATGTGCATAGAAATACTGGAGCGAGCACCCAACCAATAATAAATGTCAGAATTTTGGGGATGAAAGATCATCAGTAAGCATTTAAAAGGAATAGCCAACCCGACGAATCCCCTAGCAAAATATGTAATGGCATCTTTGTGTCTATTCAACATATGTATCTTGGAGAGAGAGAAAAAGAAAAATAGCCATTGTGTCTCACGTGTGTGCGTTTCGGCTTGCTGCTGAAGAATTGACGAAGCCAGAGCAGCCTACTTCGTGTACTAGTGCATCTCACCGGAATAGCTAGATTTGCTAGTGTATTGCTTCCTGCTAGAAATCGGATAACGTTTATGTATAGTTAGTACACGTGCTTGGTATGGCTGATGTAGCCATTGAAGCCAACACAAGATCTCCATGAGCCAGTAGGCAGTAGCACTACACAACACCATAACTAAGTTATAGCACTAATCAACTTGCTGCTTCTGGAAAAAAAATAAGAATCCAACAAACATAAGAATCACCCCAGAGCAGATCAGCTTCTATGCTACTCGGGCTGCTGCTCATTCTTCTTCTGTTGCTACCCAGCAACTAAATGGACAGATTCAACATTAACAAGTAGAAAGAATATAAAACTATAGAGATGAAGTATCAATCTACTAGCTAATAAAAAATTAACATTTATATTTTTACCTGAAGAATGAAGAACCGTGGTGGCCTATTCGTAGAACAAGAAGCGGCCGGTCGGGAAGGAGGCGAGGATCCACGACCGCTGAGCTAGTGCTGAATCGCGAGAGAAGGTGACGGGGGGTGGGCGGAGGAGGATGGCGGAGAGCTGATCTGGGAGCCTGAGAGTGGGAGGAGGTGAGGAATCCGATCCAATCTGCCTCAAACCATGCCACCGGCGAAGAAACGGCTAGGAGCCATCGAGGAGGAGATGGATCAGCTTCTTTGCTGCGCGTGCCCGCCCAACTTGGCTCAAGATCTGCGCTGCTACTGCAGCCGCCGCCGCCGCCGCCGCCGCCGCAGCCGTAGCCAAGAAATCTTCGATCCCGTGCCTTCGCTCTATAAGGATTTGGTACAGACGTGGGAGGGCAGCGAAAGCAAATTTGCTTGTAGCGTTGGACCTTTTTGCAATTTTTTTGTAAAGATCCCACCATCCGGACCTGTGCCATCAATCTCTCATCTGATGGCCCAACATCATTTCTTCTATTTTTTCACCACAAGCTCAGACTCTACACAAGTCGTTCCCTCATCAGGCTGGGCATGGGGTTGTTGTAATACATGCCCACCAAGATCTCCGGCCATATAGACCCGTGAGGGATCCAGGGAGTGTTACTCTATGCAGCATCATGACCACAATGGTGTCTTGGTTTTGAAAATACTATTTGAATGGAATCACAACATTTAGTACACATTTGTTTTTCAGCAGTTGCTTTATTTTTATACCATGTGAATCTCCCTTGGTTAGCACTTGAGACATGCATTACACACGATTAATTTTTCTCGATTTAATGTTGTTGCTCTTTCCCATGAGGTACTTGATAAAAATGCTTGGCGTGTGGCGCTCTTCAATGACTTGTTCTCTTTTGAAGAGCATGCACCCAGTATCTCTGTGTTCTTGACATACAAAAACTATACGTGTGTGAACTCTGGAAGTAAAATACCATATTGTCTGCTCGATTGTTATTGTAGTTAACATAATATTTAAAATTTTAGTGAAATTGTACAACATCCAATAGTATATTAAGTATTAGAATTTATAGTGATTATCGACATTTATTGTATTTTTCAAGACATGCGTTGCACATGCACATTTATACTATTTAAGTTTTCAACTACAGGGGCATGAGACTTCAGCTTGCTCTATACATAAGCAGGGAAGTTGAGGGCAGAACTGAAGTGCAGTTATCCACTCCTTGCTTTGACTAGAACAGCTTGCACTGTGAAAGCAAGATCATGCTATAACATGCGTGCAACTGTGAGAAACTATGGATGGCTCAGTCTGAACTCTCTAGCCCTCCTCCGGAATTACAGGGTCCGCAGATGATGATGGTTTAGCAGAGGTAGGATTGCTCTGTATTACATAACTATGTTATGTCAGTCAAGTGTTGTTACGATGTAGGAGGCAGAGGCTTCAAAATCATCTGCAGAGTAAGTGATAGGAGGCCGCTGTGCAATAAAAGGGCCCATATAGACGAATGCCATTGGGTGCAAAATCTCGATCATAGAGGCCCATATCGTCAGCGCACACCAGAGACGGCCTACCAATGTCTGATGGCATCAGTTTTATTACTCCATAGATGTGGATTATCGGGCATGACAAAAGATGGGATAACAAATATTATGGATACAATATGGCAACATAAACTTTGCAATTTTATGATTTGTGACCCGGAAGATTTTTTGCCATGCGGAGGTCCAATTTATCTGGCTATATGCACTGGAGTTTAATAATTTATGTGAACTAAATTGTATATATATATATATATATATATATGTGTGTGTGTGTGTGTGTGTGTGTGTGTGTGTGTGTGTGTGAATTTCGAGATACATATGCATTTGAGATGATTTGAGAGTGCCCTTACCGGTCATGTAGGTGCACGACAATTCGATTGTTCTGATTTATTGGATGTGTTATGCAACAGGATAAACAATGGGTG